GGCCTGGATGACTGTGGGCAGGGACCCTGTAAGGTGGTGTTTTCTGCATAGAGGGCATAGAGGTGCAGACCTGTGTGGGAGGGTAGAGGCGAGCACATGTGAACATGTCCAGCCATGGGGTGACCACGGTGGTTGGCTGGGGACAATTTTGTTGTTTCCCTCGGGACTGATGCTTTTTAGGGATGCCATTCCCCACCCTCATCCTGTACCAGCCGCCCCAGCAGCAGGCTCAGTGTTCCGCCCTGGTTCCTGTGCTGTGACTGAGAGTTGTCACCGCCACATTGGTGAGAGCACGACGGTCCCTCAGCAACATGCTGTTCGGGTTGGTGGTTTTACTGGGCTGCGTTTTAATCATCTCCTCTCCAGCCGCTGCCTCCCCCAGCTCACTGTTGTACATGAGCGGGGTCTGGTGTAATCCAGCCTCTCGGAAAATCACTGCCTCCAGCCAGAGCTCAGAGCCCACAGAGAACCCTGGCAGCCCAGGTGGCCTCACTGCCATATACCCAGCTCATATTTGAGTGAGGCAGTGGAAACAGATTCTGAGTGTGAGGATGTGGGAGCCTTGGGGGCAGAGCCACTGCTGAACTTCAATGTCCGACATGGCCCCGAGGGAGCCGGGAAGCTGAGGGCCTGGAAGCCCTCAGTGGGCCTGGAATAAGTATGCGTGCACCCCTGGAGGCACCTTTCCAGTGCTGCTGGAGATGCCTGGCACACAGACACAGCCTGTTCATGGGGACTGCCCTGGGCCCAGGAGCATCGGGGGCAAGGCTCAGCTAGACACAGGGCCCTGGTCCAGCTACACGAGGGAAGTGTGGAGTCCTCAGTTTGCTGGCCCCGGGTTGACCAGCCACACCGCAGTGTCTCTCATCATTGGACAAACACTCCCATGACTTGGGTAGTTTGGGAAGTCATGTCTCCTTCATGTCTGATGATCTCACTGACCACAGGAACCTGGATAGGCTCTTGATAATCAGTGGCTTGGGACGACCTGTGGAGACAAGGGTCTCCATCAGGATCTGTGTAGGAGAGTGGACAGTGACACAAATGGTGTAAAGTAAGTTTGGGTAGGGTAGCAGTAGGCCATGTAAAGCAAGGTGGGGTCTCAGAAGCAGCACCACGTTGAAGGTGTCTGTACCATGTGCAGACACACTGAGCTCTGGAGCATCACACGGCCCTGAGAAGGCAATAGGCGTCATCTTAGGCTGTGACGTAGCCTAGGACTGCAGCAGGATGCAGAGTGCTGCCTGTGGGGTGCCATTTGTTCACAAAGTAAGACAAGGCAGAATGTGGGGGGTAGTGGGGGGTGCAGGTCTCCCTAGAGTCTATATGCAGAATTGGAGGCTGGTCCAGCCTGGTTGTCCAAGCTTGGCTCCAGGTTTGCTTGGTGCCCACCTCCTGAGAAGCATGTGGCAGGTCATTCCTCTGGATCTGCAGCGCCACCCTGCGCCTTGAGGACAGTCTGTGCCCATTGTGTCCGTTGCAGATTCCAATTCTTTGCCTGTGAGTTCTGCTGAGCTGGACAGGACTGCTAGCCAAGGGGCAGCCACAAGCCTTGTGGGCACCAAGCTAGGCCACTGTGGCTCATAGTCCCTGATGGGCCACCAAGTGGTGTGTTCAGGAGCATGGGCCTACAGGCTTGGGAAGCATGGCGCAGGGTTCGGTGCTCGGCCTTGTCTGGCTGTGGTTGCATCATTGGACAGTTGCAGTGGAGCTGAGGATAGCAGGGTGGGCAGCTGGGGATACGCCATTTGCATCTGGCTACTTCCAAGTGATGATGGAGAGGGACAAGGGAGCACAAGTGGGGATCCCAGGCTCTGGGGGCAAATGTCCCTCTCGTTCATGGCCCCAGTAGCAGGAGACCAGCCTCCCCTGCACTCCAGAAGGTATTGCTGTGCTCTCTGCTTCATTCCTGCAAATGTCAGTGTGGAAGCCCATCCCCAGGCTCAGCATGAGGCACCAAGACATCAGTGCTTCGAGAACAGAGGGCCTGCAGTCAGCTTTGGGGTCCTGGAGAGCGAGGCATGGGGTAGAGCTGGTAATTCCTGGTTCCTTCCATGATTCCCTACCCTAGACCCCAGCAAGGGAGGTGGCATGCAGGGAGGACCCTTGGTTGTAACTCTTCTGGACAGTGTCACTGCTCTGTGTCCTGTGCTCTTCTGGGTATCCTGAGGCAATCGGGTGGGCCCCTGGTCACCAACCTGGGACTCTGCTCTGGATTGCTAACACCCATGCCACATCCTGAGCAGGCTGCAGTTCTGTGCCTTGCACTGGAAGTCCCAGTCTTCCCACTTTGGGCAGGACTCAGTCATCCCAGCTGCAAACTGTGCTGGGCCGCCATGGACAGCACTAGCCTTGCTACTCGCTTGCTCTCCCTGGACCCCAGTGGCAGGCCTGAGAGGACTGTTTGGTGTGTTGATCACCTCAGACAGCGACAGGGTGGACAGGAGGCTAGGGTGCATTGATGGTAACTTGCACCCTGTCATAACTCCCCAGCTTGTCACGTGTGCAGCTGTCTCAGCTGAACTGCAGCTTAGGACATTCCTACAGTTCTGTAGAGTCCCTGCTCAGGGCTCCAGTGCAACCTCAGGGGAGGGGCACAAGGGGGGCCTTCTCTCCCATCATCCCCAAACCCCATTCGGAGGCAGACTAAGCAGGCGGCCAAGTCCAGGCCAGTGGCTCGGGCACGACCCAGGCTTTCCCATGCCCAGTCCACCTCAGAGAGCTCAGCCAAGCAATCTGGTGATCTGTCTGCATTTTCACCCTTGGATGTGGAGCACAGCAGCTGGGGTGTAGCTCTGGTTGGGGTCAATGGCTGCCATCACAAATGCTTAACTAGAAGCCTGTACTGCTGTGTAAGGCATGTGTGAGGCACCTGCCTGATGCTGTGTGTGCGTGGCCGGACTGACTGTCCTGTCTGTAGGGTGCACCAAGGAATGGTGTAAGTAAGGCTGCTGCAGGTGAGGTGCCTGTGCCCAGGTTCTGGAAGGTTCTCAGCAAACTGCGCTGAGCAAGAGTTCCTGGGATGCAGCTGTTTTCAGGCTATACAGTGTGGTGCCACCCGTGGGACTCGGTATCAGAGCTCTGGGTGCCAGGCCACAGGAGTGAAGGCACAAGGTGCAAGGACCCGCAGGTAGTAGACATGGGCCTTCCTGTCAGCCTCAGTGGGAATATACGGGGTGTCTGTGCCATTGTGTTGTTAGCCATTTGTCCCAGGGCACCTTCAAGCCCATGTGCTGATGAGTTAAGCCAGTGCCAGCAGCTCTGGAGAGTGGTGCCATCATCCAGGCCTCTCTGAGGACCCCTCGCTGTCAGGTATCTTTGGAGAGCTTGCTAATCACCCCATAGCAGTCTGGGTTTACCAGGAAGGGCTGTGGCTCCCTCAGACTCCCAGGTGGCAGGATGCCCAGGGGACAGCTGCCCAGCAAGGAGAGAGCCTGAAGTGCACTGGTGGGTGAGCCCTAAGGCCACCTCTGTCCCCAGGAGCTGGTGGAGTCCGAGACCCCACCCTCTCTGGAGTGAGTTGTGCTTAGTGGCCCCACTGCTTTCCTTTAGTGGCTCAGGATGATGATTACTCAGCCCTGAGTGGGCTCCAGCCTGCAGGGGTCCAGTGAGACCCTCTGCATAGGTAGACCTCTCTGTCCATCAAGAAAGAGGACTCCACTGTGTAGAACTGTGTGCCGTCTCCTGAGCTGGTGGTACTAAGCTGCTGTGGCCAGAGGCAGGTGCTCGGGCCTCACCTGGAGGCCGGAACGGGCCCTCCCTGTGGCCAGGCTGGCAGGCCACCTTAACACCGTCCTAGGAGACCATGTCTTAGAGCTACCCGGCTGCCACTCCCAGACCCGGCTCCACCTCCCCACAGCAATTGCCTTTGTGCCCACGCTCCCCATATCTGCATAGCCCACGTGGGTTGGGAGAAGTCCACCGTCATTGCAAGGCCGGCCTGTGCTGGCCGCTGGTGCTGGCCATGGAGCCGCCATGGAGCCGGTGGTGGTGTCTATGGGCCCTGTGGGAGCACTCAGGTGCTTTTGCTAATTACTGACAGCAAAGCAATGGCTGAGCCGCTTGGCACAGATCCCTTAATCTGCAGTTGATGGGGGCTCAGGGAGGCCAGGCTCAGGAACGCGCAGCCTGGGCACCATCTGTGGCCACTGCTGACTGGCCAAGTCCCTGCACAGCCGCTACCCTGCACATTCCCATTAAGCAAGCTGAGTTTTCGGGGAATTGCTCATCCATAAATACTCCCTCTTGCTCAGCATGTTGGGCCTAGTGAAGTCCCCAGTGCCCCACCCTCACCCCAAGCGAAGAGGGGCAGGAGACACAGGACATTGCCTTATGTACCAGACCCAGCCTGGCTGAGGCTTCTTCAGCAGGATGGGGACACTGGGAAGGGCTCATCACACCCACCTCTATTTCCTTTCTCTCCATTAAGGACACCCCAGATGCAGCCATAGTTGCTGTGGAATGTGGCCAGAGAGCTCACAGTGGGCTTAATAGGCCATTTGCCACCCTGTCTGCAGCATCACAGCCTCTAGTCCCCTCAGGAGAAGGGACCCAGGAGTGTGTCGGCTGCCCTGTCAGTGTTCTATTCTAGCCCAGCTAGTAACATGGTTGCCATGGTATTTGAGCAGTCTGTATCCACAGGGTACAGTAGTGGGTCGTGAGCTCAAGGCCCTGACTGCTCCCTAGCCTGAATGGATTTGCCAGACCCTGCCTTGCATCTTCTAGGCCCTTCTGGACAGCAGCCAGACTGCCTGGTCCAGGGTGGTTGATCTGTGACTCCCGTTGCTGCGTCTACCTTTCTTCTCTTTGTGTCTTGCTGGGCAAGGCTGGGAATCCACGCATGGCCTGGCACTCCCTCTGGGAGTCTGTGCCTCAGAAGGGCTCTCTCAACCTGGCATGCCCGCGGTGAGGGAAGGGATGCTGCTGGACTCATACCCAGTGTGCCTGCAGCCTGGAGCCGGGCGCCTGGCCTGAGACCCCCTGCGTGTGTGTCCCCGCAGTGCACGTGCCGCAAGGACATGGTGAAGATCTCCATGGATGTGTTTGTGCGCATCCTGCAGCCCGAGCGCTATGAGCAGTGGAAGCAGGGCCGAGACCTCACGGTGCTGGACCACACGAGGCCCACGGCCCTGAGCAGCCCCGAGCTCAGCTCCTGGAGTGCCTCTCGTGCCTCCCTCAAGGCCAAGCTCCTGCGCAGGTGAGTGGCCAAGACCCTCCCCCCACTAACACTCCCCAACCCCTATCCCTCGTGCCTTCCCCCTTCCTCCACTCTTCTGTCTTCTGTTCGCTTCTGTGATAGGAGTTGTCCGGCCATCCCCCCTGCAGCCCGGGCAGAGCCCCAGGCCCTTTGTCTGGGCGTCTGTCTGAATGCTCACTGCTACTTTCCCTGGTGACATAATCCTGGTACCCTTGAGGCTCCGAAAGCTGCCAGGTCTCCAGCAAGCACTCATGGTCAAAGCTCATATCAGATCTCATGCTTCTTAGGATGGCTGGATCCTACTGCCCTGCTGCCCCTTACAGTAGTGTGGCTAACTGTGGCCACTTCTGACTAGGGACATGGGCAGGCATGCTGCAGCCTTGAGCACTGGCCTCTAGCATTGGCAGTACAGGTAACAGAGTTGGGGAGGAGCCTGACCCCATTTTCTAAAAGGGAAGCCTTTGTAGCTGGGCCCAGGCCCTCACTCAAAGTGTCCATCTCACTCCTTGCCTCTGGTAGTCCCTCAGGGATTTGAACTTCTGATAGGCCAAGGACAGCCCTGAGCTGAGCTAGAGCTGTAGGACTTCATGGAACTCAGCTGTCTGCCTGTGAAGGGACCAGGGAGTCCCAAGCACTCTGCACCCAGAAGGCCAGTCTGACCACTACTAAGGAAACACCACTGCTGACAAGACCTTGCATAGGAATGCACCTGTTACCTTAGTCTGCAGATACTGCTGTTAGGATCCTGATGGTTTCCAAATCTTGCAGAATCTGTCATCTGGAACCAGCTGCAGCCTGCGGCCTTCATTGGCTGCACTGTGGGCAGCCTGCAAGCTTCCATTCCTGGAGCTCTCAGGGGTTCTAGTCTGGCTTAGGGGTCACTGTTGGTTGTGCCTTGGCTGTGGCCATGGGGTCCTGCAGACAGGCCATGGGAGCTGTTTCTGGGGCAGTCACCTGTGGTCTGAAGCCTTCCCTCCTTATCATGTCCTCGTCAACACTGCTGCTGCATGTCCCCTGCAGTCTTATCCACCAGTTTTGCTGTGTCCTCCTGTTTGGGGAGCAGTCTGTGGTTCTAGGCCATTCTGCAGTGTCTTTCTTTGATTTCCTGCCTTGCAGGGCCCATGGAAAACAGCCTTGTGGGGCCTGAGTGCACCCCTGAGGCTTTTGTGATGGTTTCATGATGGGTGGTTTTCAAGGTCAGGGCTTGTGGGTCAGCTGAGCGGATGACCAGCAAACAGACACCACATTCTAGGACCACAGTGACCCCACGTCAGCCAGAGATGGGACCTCCCACCCTCATAGCTGCAGCCAGCCTCTCACAGGCTTCATTCCTAGGCAGAGTCCTTCCTTACTCTCGGAGAGCTGTGCCAATGCCACAGTGGCTGAATAGCAGATGAAGGCCGCCCCCATGGACGTAATTCCTGTTCAAGCTGTTCAAGGCCAGAGCTGTTTCTGCTGAAGTACCTGGCCTCTGTGGGAGGCCACCTGTAGCGTTTCCACCGTCAGCGGCACATGGTGCTGGGATTGCACTGACTGTGTACCCAGCTTCTCCCAGCTGTGCATCGTTGCTGTGCCTGGCTCCCTTGGGGAAACTGAGGCACATTAGGGGTTCAGAGTGGGTTCAGAGGTAGGGTCGGTCACCTCTCTCCCAGACGCATCAGGGCCTGGGGCAGCTGGGCCATTGTTGTTGTTCACAGGTGCTGAGAGTACCCCTGCCCTCTGCCCTCTGCACAGCACTCCAGGCACAACTCTATAGACATCAGACAGTTCCCATTGGCCCCTTGTTGGGAGCCTTGTCATGACCAGTGGTGGGGTGCTCGGCCTTCTCACCCATGAGGGCCCCTCTTTTGTACTCCTGTGTATTTGTACACAGTTCCCTTGAGGCCCAGGCTGACTGCTCCTCGGCAGAGGCCTAAGCTCAGGCTCTCCTGTGCCCACCCTGCCCCCATTCCCAGCCTCCTGTCTCTTGCAGCAGCTTCACAAGTGGGCTGACTGCAGCCCCTTCCATGGGTAAGTACCAGGAGACAATGCCACATTCCTTGGTCAGTCTGGCCCACTGTGGATGTATAGGCGTCAGGAGGTGTCTGTGCCCCACAGTGTGACACCCCAGCCTTCTGACCTCATCACCAGAGTTGACCTGAGACCCCAAGCACCTGGTGGCTCTAGAACCACTCATAGCAGGACCTCACAAATCTCTCCTGAACCCAGAATATACCTCCGTTTCCCAGGGGATATTTTAAATACTGCCACCTAGTAGCAGGAATGGAGCCAAATGAGGGAAGCCAGAGTTTTTGGGCAGCCTCCTATCTGCTTTACGGGCACAGGCCACCATGTTTGCCGCTGTCATCTCCCACTTGATGTGTCTGCCTCTCAGCGAAGCCTGTGGGCTTCCTCCTCACCATCACTCAAGTCCCGGAGCACCTGCTTTCATCTCAGAAGAGTTTGTGTCATTTACATGCCAACACTTTGAAAAATTGACGAGATGATGCCCACTTCAGCCATCTGCTGATCCCACTGGAGTGTGGATGAGAACAGGACTATGCGGGGAGCAGCTGTGTGGCTCAGAGACCTTGAGGAGACAGCAGGAGGCCTGCCAGGGCCAGCTGGACTGGGTCAGGACTTTGTGGACCCTAGGCTGGAGCCTTGGGTGCCTTTAGGAGGATAAAGGGAGCCCTGGAGTGGAGGAGCCGTAGCTTCTGCTCCTGAGCCCCCACAGCGGGCTTACTCCCTGTGAATGTCACCTCACGGCAGAAAACTGGAATATTCCGCATGGGCTCTGTCCAGTGGCACCTCCGCAAACCTTCTTTGCACCTTCACTCATCCTCCAGTGCACCCCCATACCAGCTCAGAAACAGGCCAGAGGCCATGGTAAGGCAGAGACCATTTTCAAGAGGTTCCAGAGCCACCAGAACACATGGTGGAAGAGCATGGACAGGAAAAGCCAGTACCACTGGCCCACAGTGCTGCAGGCAGATGTGAGCCCCAAGGCAGCAGAGAGAGAAGGCTCCAGAAGTCGAGGAAGAGCAGAGGAGTCCAGCCTTCCTCAAGTTTAAGCAAAGTTTAAGCAGCAGCGGCTGTGTGTAGCCTGGTCCTGTGGCATGGTGCCAATAGCGTAAGCTCTGGCACATGCCCATCTGTCCCTCACCTGAGTTCAGCGGTCAGTCCTCAGAGCTTCCAAAGAGAACAGGCCAGCACAGGACTTGGTATCAAGCTAAATGCCGCAGAGCCAGCCCTTGTGGCCTGTGGTCATGTCCCGGGGTCCCCCAGCCCGACCACCTGCTGGACTCGAGTGGGAGGAAAGACAGAGCTGCTCCTCAGAACACATCTTTTCTGCAGGGCGCACATGAGCCCAGCACAAGTGGAAGCCCTGAAAGCTGCAGGGCTAGGAAAGGCTCACCTTGCCAGAGGCATTTCGAGCTGTGCCGCCTGGAACAGGGACGGGTGCTAGAGTTATCACTGTGGATCTGACAGCTGCCTAGGGGTTCAGAGTGGGGCTGGAGCATCTGGAGATGCCAAGAAGTATTAATCATCCAATAGAAGAGGGTCTAAAGCAGACTACAAGCACCAGGAGGCCTGCCGAAGCTCTGGGTCACACAGATGCAGGGGCATGCTGTGGCTGCCTAAAGAGAAGCTGCTGCAGCAAGGTGGTCATATCTGTGTGTGTCAAGCCTCGCAGGCAAGAGGGAGAGAGGATACAGGTCAGGCCTTGCCTCTGAGAAGAAGCATTGGGGGGTGGGGGTGGCGACAGTTGTGACAGGGCTGGGTCCCAGCTTGTTCTCATAATATAGTATGGCTGACCTTCGGCTTACGGTGGCCCTCCCTGCTCTGGAGGGGTGCAGCACATGCATTTGAGTCTTTAGTTCCTTTTTTTTTTTCTGGTGTGGGCACAGCTGGTCTAAGGTCCCATTTCCTAGTCCCTTGAGCACTATGGCAGTGCCAGGCAGGCTGGTGTGCTCAGCTGTAAACGGTGTTGTGTGTGGCCTGCGGTGTCCCAGTCTTCTGTGCTAGGGCTGGGTGGGCCCCTGATCCCCTGATATGGTCTCCAGTACCAGCTCACAGTGGGGTTAGGACAGTGACTGAATCAGGGCCAGTCAGGAAGCTGCAGTCAGCCGAGTTGGGGACAAGCTGTGCGTGCTGTCTGAAGCTGGGAGCCAGCAGGAGCAACCTTCCACCCTGGGGCCAGCAGCTAGGATCTGAGCCACCACACTTTTTCTGATTTGCTGTTTCCCAGTGATGCTGTTGCTGGGGCTGCCAACTCCAACCAGAAGGGGTGGAGAATGTCCCTGGGTTCAAGGCCCTGTGTCTCCAGCCCCTCTTCTCTGTACCCTGCCAGCGACTCCCACCCCCTCCTGCCTGTCCCCGCCTGTCCTGCAGCCACTACATATGCACACCTTGCCTCTGCCTGCACCCTCCTTGGAATGCTGCCTGCTTGCCTGCTGCTCATCTCGTGGGGCTCACACATTCATTGTTGAGGGATCCCGCCCTGCTCGGGGATGTTTCAGCCACAGAAGTGAGGGAGAGGAGGGCAGGCCACCACCCAGGGCCAGGGGCTGCAGAGCGTTCCGAGCTCTGTTGGGCCACTGAGGGGCTGTGATGGGTGAGGGCCACTGGCCTGGGGACACCAGGAACATGGAGCTATAGGAAGTCCTCCCTTGTCAGTCTAAGCAGCCTTAGGTGCTGGTAGGGAGGTCCTGCCTCTGCCCCCTTGCCCCGTGGCACTTGCTCACTCTGTCGCCTCATTCAGTGAGGCCAAGCCTGCAGCCTTGGGGCCTAGCCTGCGTCAGGACTGGTTTGTTGGCACCGGGGACCATTCCTGCTGTCGTCATGAGGGTGGCACGTTCCTTTGTTCAGGCTGGGTGCAGGGCCTGAGAGCCCCATGTAGAGGGCTGTAGAGAGGGCCGGGAGCCAGAGGAAAACCCTAAAATTTACATTCTAGACAAATTAGTGTGAAGGAGAGCAGACCCTGGAGAAAGGCTGAGGAGGAGAGGAGGCCGAGTCTAGAGAGGAGGCGGGAGCACACCAGGAGGCCAGGGCCGTCGTAAGTGATCTCCCTCGCGTTCGCCTGCAGCATCCTGCCCATCCCTGCCACCATCGCCCGCTTCACCCCACCTTTCTACTCCCTGCCCACCCTGGACTGCCTCAGTCTCTTCCGTTTCCCCTCCTGCCTGACCAGTGCCCTCCTCCAGGTCGCACCGGAGACGGAGCCAGCCCAAGAAGTCAAAGCCTGAAGACTCCAGGTCTCCTGGGGAGGCAGTGGCTGGGGTGCCTGGTCTGGATGAGGCCAGGGCCTGTTCCCGTGAGGAGGCCATGCCTGAGGACGACGACGAGGAGGAGGAGCTACTATCCTCACAGAGCCATGAGGCCGAGGGTGTGGAAGGTCAGTGCCAGATGCCTGCAGCATGGGGTTCGGGTCCCTTCCACCTTCCTCCTGCTGGCCAGGATACTCCATGAAGTGCCTAGGCACATGGGGACCTTGATCTGTATTCTAGCTCCCAGTGTCCCAGCCCTTCTCTCCTGATACTGTGTGTCTCATTCCTGTCACTGGCTTCCATTCAGTTGCAGCCTTGTGTCCAGGTAGGGAGGGCCTTTCTTCTCTGGCCTTTCTGAAGCACGAAGCAAGGGTGAGAGGTCAGGGACTAGCCTGCATCGACAGTGTCTCAGATTCCCACTGGCTGCTGGGGTCGGTTATGGACAGACACCTGTCCTCAGCACACCACGGCACAGGGTCTTCCAGCCCAGGAAGGCCAAATGAGGGAAAGCAGGGTGGCCATGTTGCAGTGTGACCTCAGACAGAGTGACCCATGGTGCAGTGGGCAAGGCCAAGTGTGGCTAGATTCTCAGGGCAGCAGCTCCCACCCAGCAAGTCGGAAACCGCTACACAGCAAGTTCAGGCTGACATCAGTCAAGAAAAAAACTGGCGGCCACAGATCCAGGGAGCTCCAAGCTGCGTGCCTGCATGGCGCTGCAGTGAGGTGGCGAGGTGCCTGCTGGCATGCATATGGCCCTGGGCTCTACCATGCACTGCAGGGCGATGACACTAGCAAGCTACAGCAGCAGCAGGAGCCAGCAGGAGGCCGCAAGCGTGGGGCTGTAACGTTGCTGTTGTTGTGTGGGTCATGGTCATGTGTGAGCTGCAGGGGCAAAGGGCTGGAGTGATGCCAGCAGACACAAACACAGAGAAGCCATAGGAAGCAGCTGGATGCTAACGGTCTACCTTGGTCTCCCTGCTCTCACCTCCCCATACTGGCGAATGAGCTCCCCCCAACCACCCCACCACCCTGGAGCCATGTGACTGGCTATGGGACCTTGGTGCCTTCTTGAAGTATGTTTATTCCCTGTGGATCTGGTGTCAGTGCAAACCCCTCCTCATTCCTGAGTATGGTGTGAGGGTGAAGGGTGCTCCCCTTGGCTCATCCTGCAGGATGGCATCACCCAATCTGTCTGCTTCTCATCCTGCTTTCTCTGAGGATCCCATGGTGACCTCGGAGTCCTTGGCTCTACCTAGCGTCCCTTCTGCTGTGGGAGATGACATAGGCCCAGGGGGAGGACATGGCTGTCCTTGGAGGCCTCCATTGTCTGCCGAGGACTTAAGGATTATCCTTGATCTTGACCCCCCTCAGCATAAAGTGGAAGCAGTGCCCACCCGTCAGGCTAGGGAACAAAGGTCCACAGATTGAGCCAGGCATTTGGCCAGCCTGTATGACCTAGGAGTGGCGGCTCCCAAGGCTGGGAGGAGTGCTAGCCCCATGCTGCCCTGTTTCCAGGGAAACCCGCCTCACCTCACGCCCTTCCTGCGAGGACACCAGAGCCCTCTCAGCATCGCATCTTCCATGCCTCAAGACGTGGTTTCTGGAGCTTGATGGGTCTCTATATGCAGAGGCAGGGACCCCAGGCTGCTGGCAGGGCAGAGAGGCCTGTGAGGGTGATGGCTCATGTTCCTGCACCATGCTCTATGGTGGGACAGTGTGACAAGGGCTTACGGGTCTTCTAGAAGAGCAACAGGCTGTCTCCCTAACCGACCCGTCTCCCCAAGAAGGTGTCTCTCTAACACCCCCATCCCCTTTCTCCACAAGAAGAAAGCGTCTCTTTAATACCCCCGCAACCCCTCAAGAGGTTGTCTTTCTAACCCACCCCCATCTCCACGAGAGGGCGTCTCTGACCCTTTCTCCATCCCTCTAGGTCATCTCCAACCCACCCCATTTCCACAAGCACACAGGATACTCAGTCATTCAGGATTCGGTGAAGGCTCAATTAGCTGCTGTTTTTGAGTCTGCTTCTCCCATCTTCTGTGTGTGAACACCCACACCTCTGCCTCTTTCCCAGCACAGTGGAACTACATATCTGGAAGCCTGGCTGTCACCTGAGGGACTGGAAATAGTCACAGTGGCCATGGCACCACAGGGCCTCTGCTGCTCTGAGTTTTGGTGTGCCACAGAGGGGAACCAGCCTCTCTGGCAGGGCAGGACACTAGGAACTGGGTGGTCAGAAGGCATCGTCCCAGGCACTGCCCTCCAATGCCACAGCCTGTCTATGTGAGCGGTGACAGGTGATGGCTTGGGGGCTCCTCCACAGCTGGACCTTGGTTCCATGATGGGGCAGAGCTGGCAGAGTGCACCCTAACAGGGCCGAGACCAGCCAGTTCTGGCTCAGCCAAGCCAGAAGGTAGAAGGACCTGTGTCCTCCAGGTATGTCTAGCCCCAGCAGCTGGGACAGGGCCCACATCTGTGGATCTGTGGCCTCTCACCCCTTGGCCTCCCATGACCTATGACCCTGAACCAGACAGGCTGACCAACCCAGGCATGTTGGGGCACCTGGCCATAGCTCCTGGTCACCCCTAAAGGACCTATTCACCATGTTGCCCACCCCAACACTCCAGAGGGACCAAATTGGGACCCTCAGTCCACCTCTCCTTGCTTCCAAAGGTAGGTGGAGGACTGTGGTGCTCACGCTCGTGTGGCCACCGTGCGTCTATGTGGAGGGGCGAGCTCTGACGTGCCCCCTCTGAGCTTCTCCCGCTAAGGAATCTGGCTCTCTCGTGGCCGTGCATTGCTTGGACATGCCAAGGCATCCGCAACTGTTGGTCATATGAAAGCCAGGGCAGGGTCCTGTGGTCCAGGGTCGGGGGCTGTGAGGGGCTGGGTCACAGGTGCAGATGAGCCTGGTCCTCGGTGACCACAGCAGCTCCAGTAAGTGGGCTGAGTCAGGATGGGGTGACACCCCACCTGTTTCTACCCGTGTCTCATCACAGGGTGGGGATCTTAGGGTGTCTTAGGGTGCCATCCTCACACTGAGACAGTGTGCCCTGTTGTCAGGGTTAGTGAGCCCTTGCCCTTGGAGGTGTGTCACCCAAAGGTGGCCTACTCCAGTGTGTGGAGGGGACAAGATGCTTCCCTCCCACCCTCTCCCATCAGCGGTCTGGCCTGAGGTGCAGCTGTGGCCCACAAGCCACTTCATTGAGTCATATGCCACTCACAGCACCATACGGTCCCGTGACACTCACAGGCGACATCTTAACCCCTGGAGCCTAGTGTAGTGGCTGGGCTGCAGGACACAGGGTGTCAGGTGGTGCTTTCTGGAGAGCCTGACAGCAGTGGCCAGGCCCTTATCCTTCTGTCCCCATGGTCTGTCCCTGGTTAAGTGATATGCTGCACGGCCATCATGGCACCAAACTAAAGTATCACCAAAGAAGAATCCCATTGGCCCCTCTCTTTCCCTGTCAGGAACTGTTCCTAACACTCACTCCACAGGCTGCCAGATGGGCACTCCCCAAGGCTGTCTGCCGCTGGGTCCCTGTGTGGTGGCCGTGTGACGTCTTGTTTGCAGTAACTGTAGAGGCATGTTCATGAGAAGAGCGGCTCCTCCCCACTTCCCGAGAGCCCAGGCTCTCCCTCCCTGAACTAATTCCAGAAGGCTCTGCTTCTTTTATTTTTTTTTTGGGGGGGGGGGGCAATATCATGATCCCAGGCTAGCCCTGTTGCTCCCTCCCTCCACACCAAGGGCTGGGCTGGCAGATTGCAGCTCTACACCAGTTCAGGAATCTCTGCTGTAGGTCCAGCAGTCCAGTACTGGGCACTTGTGGAGATTGAACTTGCCCAAGCTTTCGGGAACATGGAGTCCCTAGCGCTTCCGTCTGCTTGGTTCTGAGTGTCACTTTCTCTCCCCAGAGGATGGCAGAGGCAAGCCTCGGCCAGCCAAGGCCAGGAGCAAGAAGAAGACTCCCAGCCCACCCCTATTGCCACCTGCCCCACCAGCCCTATGCCCCACCGAGGAAGTCCTGAGGCCGCCACCACCCAAGTCTCCAGTGCAAGCCACGGGCTCCACAGCTGCAGAGGGTGGTCCTCCACCAGCACCCCTCAATGTCATGCCTCCCGGGGTGCCAGGTGAGGAAGCAGAGGCACGGCCCCGGCCCATCATCCCAATGCTGTATGTGCTGCCCCGCACCAACACCCCTGACGGGGACAGGGAGCGTGCTGCCCACCCACAGCTGGCACCCATGGAGCTGGGGCCGGAAGAGGAAGGCCAGGCACAGGCTGGTGACACGCAGGTGTGTAAAAGGCCCCTGGGTCATTGGTAGCTCTGTCCACACAGCTGTGTGGCATCTGTTCGCCCGGGTGATAACTGGAGTCGGGGTGTGTCTGTGTGCGCGCGCGCGCGTGCGAGAGAGAGAGCATGAGTGTGTGGGTGGGCGCCTGTGTTTTGCGGGGGCGGTAGTGCACCTAAGTATGTGCATGTGTGTTGGGGCAGGAAAGCGTGCAAGCGTGTGCATGTGTGCTTTGGTGGGCAGTGTGGGGGAGTGTGCCTAGGGACGTGACTGTGCGTTGTGTTGTGGGGACAGGTCCCCGCACTCACAGTGAGATGTGTTTCAGGTGCCAACCCCCTTCTCTAAGCTGAAGGTGGAAATCAAAAAGAGCCGGCGTCACCCCTTGGGTCGGCCACCCACTCGGTCCCCACTGTCTGTGGTCAAGCAGGAGGCCTCAAGCGATGAAGGTGAGCAGGCCCAGCCGCCACGCTGCTCTCCTCCCACCTGCATGGGGCACAGGCCTGCCCCTCTCCACTCGTGCCCGTGTCCACCCTTTGTCTAGTCCCTTGGAGTCAGGTCCTCCCTGCACCATGGCACCCTGGCTGCCCTGCTGTGAGGTTCAGCACAGCCTCCTGGCCACACATCTGCCGAGGCCCAGCTGGCCATTCTCCACTGCCTGCAGGGCCTGCTCCACTCCACCCTGCCTCCCGTTCAGTCACTCACCAGTGCCTGAGAAGTCATGTGGCTATTGAGGGCCAGACCCCAAGCACATTGAGAGTTTCATTCTCATCTGAGTAGTGGGCTGCAGCGTTCAGCACCTCCGTAGGAAGATGAAGGAAGCCAGGGCCTGAACCGGGTGGCAGAGGTGTGGCCTGCAGGCCATGGTGGCAGAGAGTCCTGTGTGCAGGCAGCTGAGGTGTGCAGGCTGTGGTTTGGGGTTAGAGTTGGGGCCTGCAGCCGCAGCTCCTCTGGCTCAGGGCTGCACCCTCAGTTTTGCACGGGAGCGTCCAGTCAGGGCTTGCTTGAAAGTGCCCACCACCGTGTGGTGTGGCTATGGCTGGTGAGTATAGGTGGGAGCTCTAGGAGGGGCTCCCCAGTGCAGATGGAGCCTTGGGTACAGAGCTCTCTAGCTGGCTAGCAGGCACATGGAGCAGCACCCGTGTGCAGGTCCTGGGGGTTTTCAGCTTCTCCCTAAGCTGCTGAGAGAAGCTAGGAACAGACCGCCAGCCCTTCCACCCAAGACGTCACCACAGGAGTAGTCGGATCTGGGGGACAGTTGAGACTGTCCAGATTCTTGCCTCCCGGCTGGGTTCTCCCCAAAAGGAATTCTGGGGAGTCCTGGCAGATGTCCCCCAGCTCCATGCCCCAGGCGTCTCGTGGTAGGTGGCAGCACCCAGACTCAACACAGTCCTGGGCTCTCTGGGTCCATTGGGGTTATGTGAGGCTTCTTGAGGCTGAGCAGTTCCTCAGCTGGAAGGTACAAGGTGATGAGAGTGGAGTGGTTCCAGCATCTCCCCAGTGTGCTGGCTGTCCCCCCCCTACACCCCCCCCCCCCCCCCCCCCCCCCCCCCCCCCGCTGTCCTCTTGCCCACGGCTGTGCTGCTGCACGGGTGGGCCAGCCTTCAGCAGGCTGTGCTGAGCCTCCGGGACAGGTAGGCAGCACTGGCCCGGCTTCATGGACAGGAGGGTGTGTCTGAGGGTGGCGTGTTTGGTGTCCAGGCCATAGGCTCAAGGGAGACCCATGGAGGGAAACCAGTGCCTCTCCCTGCCAGGAGCACAGACCACCACCTGCCGGCCAGGGTTGGTGCTATGCGGGCAGGAGCACCACATGGGGGCCGTGCTGCAGGGCCCTGTCCTCCAGCTCAAGCTCCTGCTTTACAGAAGCCTTCCCGTTCTCAGGGGAGGACGATGTGAGCGACCCTGAGGCCTTGAGATCCCTGCTGTCACTGCAGTGGAAGAACAAGGCTGCCAGCTTCCAAGCTGAGAGGAAGTTCAACGCGGCGGCTGCCCTTACCGAGCCCTACTGCGCCATCTGCACCCTCTTCTACCCCTACAGCCAGGTGAGTGCCAGCTGCTGTCTCACCTGTTCTGCTCAGCCCCGGTGCCACCCTCACCCCAGGGGAAAGCAGTGTGGACTCCCCAAACTGAGGCTAGGTGGGGGGAAGCTGCGGCCTGGCCCACAATGGCCCTGAGCTGGCCACGTGGCCCTCTGTCTGCAGTCAGTACACACAGAGCGGGAGGTCCTGGCCTCTCCGGGGGAAAGTGCTGTCCAGCCGCCCTCCAAAAGTGGCCAGAGGACACGGCCACTGATCCCCGAGATGTGCTTCACCTCAAGTGGGGAGAACACCGAGCCTCTTCCGGCCAACTCCTACGTCGGCGAGGACGGCACCAGCCCGCTCATCTCCTGTGCCCACTGCTGCCTGCAGGTCCACGCCAGTGAGTGCCCCACAGCCACCCCGCCCCACCGAGGGGGGCTCTGGGCAAAGGAGGGCACTTCCCGGAGCCGGTGCATTTTGAGTTTGGAGGGGGGGCTGTCCGGGGCTCCGGCCTGTGCAGCTGCACCGTGTGGAGAATGCAGGTGCGAAGGCTGCAGGTGTGGGTGACAGATCTGCTCTGGTCCCAGCGCTCCACTCTCTTCCAGGTTGCTATGGTGTCCGGCCCGAGCTGGCCAAGGAGGGCTGGACATGTTCCCGGTGTGCCGCCCACGCCTGGACTGCGGTAACTCACCTGTTCTGGGTGGCGTCAAAGCCTGGGAGGTCCTGGGCCTGTGGCCTCGGTCTCAGCTGTGCCGAGGCTGGGGCCTGACACTCGTGCCCGGGTGTCCCGGGGCTCGGGGTGTGCGTGGTGGAGGGAGCTGCGCCTCACCGAGTCCATCTGTTCCTTAGGAATGCTGTCTGTGCAACCTCCGGGGGGGAGCACTGCAGACAACCACGGAGCACAGGTGTGTCCCTGCTGCCCTGCAGACCCCCCTTCTCCCCCCGCCACCCATCCTCACGCTGGCCCCTTGGGGACAGCCTGGGGCCATCAGCAGTGCACTTGTGACCTGTCCTCGCCTGCCAGGTGGATTCACGTGATCTGCGCCATCGCAGTCCCTGAAGTACGCTTCCTGAATGTGATTGAGCGCAACCCTGTGGACGTCAGCGCCATCCCTGAGCAGCGGTGGAAACTGGTAAGTCCCCAAGACTGCAGCCCTAGCCTTAGTCCTGGGGCAGGGTGGGGAGCTGCAGTACTCGGGACCCCCAGGTGCAGCCCGGCCGCCCCTGGAGTGAGCAGTTTCCAGAGACTGCAGGTCCTGTGGGTGCCTGAGCTGAGCGCGCTCTCTGCACAGGAGCCGCCTGCCCCTCCCTGCAGCTTCCTTCCTGTGACCTGGGGAGGAGGAGCCTCTAACTATGCCTGTGCGGAGTCCTGACCCCGCAGTCATGCTCCATGCTTCATCTTCCTCCGCTGTGCCACAGACACGTGTGTGCTCGGAGGACAACCTCAGTGTCGGTCCTCGGCCTCCCTTTTGCCTGAGATGGAGTCTTCCCATGTGTGTGCCCAGCTAACTGGCTGCTCCGCTTTCAGGGGTTCCCCAGCTCCCATCATGCCACAGCAGCACTGGGGTTTCCATGCTCCACATCGGCCTTTACATGGGCTCTGATGGTTCACCCCTCCTTACGGTCGGATGATAAAGCTTTGCCACTGGGTCATCTCGTCAGCCTCCTTCCTTCCTTTTCATGCCAGAGTAACGCTTTGCTGAGTGGCCAGGCTGCTGGTTCTGTTCCTCACCTGCCTCTGCCTCTTGACACAGCGATGTGATGCTCATTTGTGGGCGTGGTGGAGACCGAGGCAGATGCAGGATACAATCCTGTCTTTTCGCGCATGCCACAAGCACAGTGGCTTGTGACACTTCTGAAACTCAAGGAGCCTTCCCCGCACCCTCCTTCCCCCGCTGCAGCATGCAGCTTTCTCCAGGGTCGTGGGGCAGGGCGCTTTGTGAGCCTGCCTGTGCTTTCCCTGGTGACTGCAACAGGGCGCCTTCTCAGCCCCACCTCCTCTGAGACCTGCTGTCCCGTCCTTGACCTGTTTCCAGTCATTTTGTGTCTCTGTTGAATTGAAGGCACACTGTGTTGCCTTCAATGCTCCTGTGTGAGCATGGCCTCCTGAATGAGGTCTCTGTGTGTGTCAGTCTGTCTCTGTTCTCTCTGTCTCTCCCTCTCTGTGCAGTAGGTTAGTGAGCGAGGTCACAGGTTCAAGTTTGCTTGCCCAGGAGCTGTGTTCCTCTAGACAGACTCCTGGCCTCTCTGGGCTTCAGCTTTCCCAGGCAGGAGTGTGAACTGCCATGGCTGTGTGGAGAGGATCAGTTCCCCAGATCTGTCTTGCTCCAGACCCTCCTGAGCCCTCACCTGCCCCCAGATGTGGGCTGAGTGGGGCCTGGCTGCAGCCCAGTGGCTCCTGTCCTGTCCAAGGCATGGGACAGGGGACTTCTTGCCTCTGGAAGGTGGCCCAGCCAGGGGGTCCGGGAATGGAGATGTCTCTGCTCAGACCTTGGGACAGGCCCTGTTGAGGGCAGTTAGCCCCACACTGCTGGGAGGGCAGCTACCTGTGGCACCTGTCAGGGCACCTGGAGGCACGCCCTCGGTTAACGGTCTGGACAGTGTCCTGCATTGGTTTTGCCTGGTTCGTCACCCAGGTCACGCTGGGTGGAGGGCTGTGGTGGAGCCTGTAGGCACTGTGCTGGCTCCCAGCAGAGTCTGGGCTCCCTGGAGCTGGCTCGGGAGTCACAGGTGTAGGGACCTCACCCCATGTGTGGCCCCCTGGCGCAGGCCCAGTGGGTGGCCTCCGAGACCCTTCAGAAGCCATCAGCAGGGCCTGACGGCTGGGTGGCCGAATGAAGGCCAGGTCACAGCCCACTAATCCTGCCGCCCTGTGCACGCGGCCTCTCTGCACTGTGGTACCGCAACTAAACACCCCAGTGGCAGCACTGAACTGGGAGATGACACCGCTCACCCCACTCCCCGCCCCCAGCTCTGTGCTTCCGTGAGGGTGGGGACTTGGCCTGAGGAGAAGGGCTGGGCTCCGTGCCATTAAGCCCCAGCTCCTGTCCTGTGTGCCCGCCTGCCCCCGCCTGTTGCGGACGCGCTCTCTGACGTTGGCGGGAACCGTCCCCGCAGAAGTGCGTGTACTGCCGAAAGCGCATGAAGAAGGTGTCCGGTGCCTGCATCCAGTGCTCCTACGAGCACTGCTCCACATCCTTCCACGTCACCTGTGCGCACGCGGCTGGCGTCCTCATGGAGCCCGACGACTGGCCCTATGTGGTGTCCATCACCTGCCTCAAGCACAGGGCAGGCGCAGCAGGGGTGAGTGCAGTGGCCAGAGCCGCCCCCGCCCTCACCATTGGTCCCCGCCACGTGGGCCTGCCTCGCCCACCCAGCCTCACCCATCATCATGCCTCTAGGGCCAGCTCCTGCGGGTGGTGTCCCTGGGCCAGGTCGTCATCACCAAGAATCGCAATGGGCTGTACTACCGCTGCCGTGTCATTGGCACCACTGCGCAGACCTTCTACGAGGTCAACTTCGACGACGGCTCCTACAGTGACAACCTGTACCCAGAGAGCATCACGGTGAGGGGTGGGGCGGGGGCTGGGGCGGGATGGCAGGGGCGCTGGCTGGACAGGGCCTCACCGTCCCCTCCCTGCAGAGCAGAGACTGCGTGCGGCTCGGGCCACCCCCTGAGGGCGAGCTGGTGGAGCTGCGGTGGACAGACGGCAATCTCTACAGAGCCCGGTTCATCTCCTCGGCCACCAGCCTCATTTACCAGGTGGGCAGCCTCACAGGGGCCTCTGCGCCTCCGCTCTCCAGCAGCGCACAGCCTCTGCCACCTGACCCCGAGTCAGTGCTGAGGACGAACCGAGCCTCGGTGGGTGGGAGGGAGGGTGCAGCCTGGGGCCCAGTTGCCAGCCCAGGCTGCGGCAACACCACCTTGTCTCAAAACAAAACCAAGCACAGAGCCAAACGACACAGGGAACTGCCAAACAGCTGTGCTCCCCCTGGGCAGATGGGGATGGGAGGCCACAGGTCCAGCCCAGCTCTTCCTGTGCCTGCAGACGAGGCGGCCCAGACACACAGTACCTGTGTGGCCAAGCGAGGCGCTGGCACGGTGTGGGAAGCCAACCAGGCACCGCACCCTGAAGCCCAGGGGATAGGCGCACTCACATCGTCACTCGTTTCAAGAGCTTTCCAGAAGCCCGCCTGAGCCCTGCAGGGCAGCCTGGGTTGAGGGCCTGTAGCCGTGGTTCAGACAGAATAACTGTTAAAGAGGGGCTGGGCACAAAGCTGCCCTTTGGAGCGCCACAGCTAAAGCAGAGGTGGGAGGTAGGGGCGCCTTCCAGAACTCCCTCCCTGCTGGGGAACCTGACTCCCGGTGCACGGGCTATTGGAGCCAAGCTGTGTGGGCCAGCTGCTGCCTTGGCATGCCCAGACCTGCTCACATGTGCCCCAGTGTCCCCTCAAAGGCCCTACCCTTACCTCCCCTAGCTGTGAGGCCAGGCCAGCATCTCAGCCAGGGGTCACTTGGGCCCCTCACTGCTGTCTCTGAGAGAAGGCGGCCATATGCCCGAGCGCCCATGGTGTCCGCCTCTCAGCCCCACATCCTGATCCACCCTAGCCTTGGGCATCGATTATGGAGCAGGGAGCCCGTTTGGGGTGGCACTCCATAGCTGCCCGTGAGTTGAGGGAAGCAGGTCCCAAGTCCTGAGGGCCTGGGGAACCTCCAAGCCTGCTGTCTAGGGCCTGCCTGGTTTCTCATCCTTGAGGCTGCAGGCCTGTCCATCCTCATCTGCCAGGGCCTGCTTGGAACTTAGGCCAGGCCCAGGCTTGGGCAGGTGTCTGCTGGGCCCTGATGTCAGGGCACCTGAGTCCCTGGAGACGGCCACCACCCTGTGGCTCGCCCTGTGCTGAGACCCCATCTCGCTGCAGGTGGAGTTTGAGGACGGCTCTCAGCTGACTGTGAAGCGTGGGGACATCTTCACCCTGGATGAGGAGCTGCCCAAGAGGGTGCGGTCCCGGCTGGTGAGTGTCCCCGGTACCTCTGTCTGGGGCAGGTGGGGGTACCCCCTTGGGTGTGAGTCAGGGTTTGGTCCTAAGGGGCTTTGCTAGGGCCACCATCTGATCCATCCCTGATGTCTACAGTCGCTGAGCACGGGTACGCCGCAGGAGCCCAGCTTCTCTGGGGACGATGTGAAAGCCGCCAAGCGCCCAAGAGTGGCCACCATGCTGACCACCTCCACCGAGGACGCAGGGCGCAGCCCGGAATACCTGGCCTTCATGGAAAGCCTGCTGCAGTCACAGGGCCGGCCTGGGGCACCCTTCTAGACACTGCCCACCCCGTCCCCCTGTGGGACCTACCTGGGCAACACGACCAGCAGGATCCAACATGGCTGGACTCAGGGAGCAGGGCCAGCATCCCTGGACTGCAGCGACTTCGTGGGAGCTGGCCTGACTCTGCTTTTCTCCTAAAGGTGCTATGGGGCATCCCGGAGCCTCCTGTGACAGATGCCAGCCGAGGACGCTGGGGCACGACCCCAACCTGTTTTTTTAGATTTGTGGCTTTAAAAACTGACAGCAGAAACGCTCTTTTTCCTCAGAACCAAGATCCGAGGAGATAAAAGCTTCGTCCTTGTTTGCTGCCTACAGATGTTGTTTGTCTACTGAGCAGGTGGAGAGGCACTTTTGTACAGGAATCCCCTGAGGGGACACTAGCCCAGTGCACGGTGATCCGTGTAGCCGCTCCGCCATGCCCCCGGCCATGCAGAGCCTGCCTCACTCTGCCTTCGCTGCCTAGGATGGCAGTGTCCCCATGGGTGGGTCAGGCTCCCACAGATGTGGCCTGGGGTCCCTTGAGCCTTGATCGTTGGACCAGGGCTTCTGTGTGTGGCTGAGGGCAGGAGAAAGAAGGTGCCACCTTCACGTGCAGCACGTGGCACAGGAGACAGATCTCACAGGCCTGGTCTGCACTAGCCACCACCGCCCATGGCTCAGCTCTGTCTCTCTAGAAGCCACTGCCATCCTAGCGCCTGTGTCCCCAGGATGGACAGCTCACCTGTAAATGACAAAGGACTGGACAGACAGACCTGGCCCCGGGGACCTTCTGGGGACTTGAGGGCCTGGGCCTCTGTGGAGTGTCCAATGGCTGCCGTGTCCATGTGTACTTTGAAATTCTATTTATATTGTAAAGAGAATAAAAAGGACCCACCTTGGGCCTGAAGCGTGAGGCCGGGCCACAGGGTTCTCGGCTGTGCCCTTGTGGGCTCTGCAGTGGCTGCCGAGGGCTCCGTACACTCCGCACAGGGAGGCCTGGGTTTTACTTTGTGCAAAAACAAAACCTCGCCCCCCACTTCTCCGTACCCCAGATGAAGGACGCCGTATTTTTGCCTCAGTCTCTGGCCTCTGGTTCAGGATCAATTAAAGCCCTTGAGCGCTTCCTATTCCTGCCTTGTCATGGCTGTGTCTTATTTCCAGCCAGGGCAAGATGGGCTCAGGATGGAGGTCTCCTTGGCAGTCACAATGGGTACAGCATGTCTTCGTCTGGATGTAGGAGCCGCCAGGAGGTGGGACACCAACCCCAGTCCATCTCCGTCTCTCCCAGGTGCCCTGGAGCTGAGGCAGCCTGTCCCTACAGGATGCCCGGGCTCTCCCACCCCCTTGCTTGTCAGCAAAGGCCCCGGGGTCAGGCAGAACCTGGCCTGTTGGAGGAGAGGGAGTGGAGCAAGAGGGAAGATTGGGAGTGTGAGGGCCCCTGTCTGGTGGACCAAAAGGGAAACTTGGGTTTGACCTTGAGAGAGGAGAAGGGTAGGAGTCACAGAAGGCTGTGCGCAGAAGAGGGAGGAACCGGCCAGTTGCTTACAGCAGGCGCTCAGTGGTGGGATTCTGGGTAGGGCAGAGGGCCCTTGTTTTCCAGTCCTCTTTGAAACATCCTAGAACAGACTGTGGGACAGGCCTTTGCTCTGGGAATGGAAGGGAAAGCAGCCCTGACAGTGACGTGCCAGGACCCTGTGGGGGTGGAATGCTGTCCTAGGAGAGGACATGTAACTAGCTCTGACCCCTGACCCTGCCTGGCACATGCCACTGAGCTCAGGTGTGCCACCTACAGCTCTGGGCCGCCTGGCCCTCGGCCTGTTTTTGTTGATAAAGTTTTACTTGCACATGCCCACCCTGTTATCGTTTGCACGAGGCAGCCATTGGCCCTACCTCAGCATTGCTGAGGGATTGCCTGGCCTGGGAAACCGACCCTAGCTTGGACCTGGACCTAGACCTGGACACTGTGGGCTAAAACAGGCTCTTCTGGCCTCCATCTCTTCCTGGTTGCCCAGAAGCCTCCCCCAAGTCCTGCCTGGCGCCCACTGCACACCAGGGCCCTGTCCTGCCCCTGCCCCACCCTCTCTTCCTAACGCTCAATGGCTCTCAGGTTCCAAGTCCCATAGCTGTCCCTCAGCCCAGGGTGGAGAGAGGATGGCTTCCATCCTTGTCCCGCCTGTGCGCGCCATGCACGGGTGCAGCCCCGGCACCCACGTGGTCACAGCTCATAGCTTCCTTGACAACCTTAAATGCCACGTGTCCATCTCTCTCATTGGCCTCCCGACCCTGTTCTCTGCACCTTGACACCATCAGCCACCCAGGCCTATGGAGAACCATTCTGAGGACCCTCAGATCGTCACCAGAGCAGACACAAGGGGAACTGCCTCCGGGCCCTATGCCCTGTGCTGGAAACGAGTGGGATCTAGGGGCCTGAAGCCCTCTGGCCCTGTGCCTAGACAAAATAAGAAATGGCCTCTTCCTGGTATCGCAGTGGCTACAGGGGCCTCCTGCCATGACAAATGTCCCCACTGTCAACAGCTGAGCAGAGTGGAGACTCGCATCCATTCCATCCTCTGCAGAACAACCAAAGCTTTGACTGCTTGGATGGGTCTGTAAGCCACACGTCCCCCTGAGCGTCCATGCTGGCAGCCAGATAGGCTTCTGTGCTTTTATTCATTTTCTGGGATGCTGGGTCTGGGGGCCATAAAGTAGGGACTTGGATGATATGAGATAGTCCTTGCAGGATAGAGGCTTGAAGACCAAGCTTCTTCGGGCCCACCCCCAAACTCCACAGACGGTCCCAACAGGAATAGGCAATCCCTTGTCTTGGGGCCAGATTGTTCTGATTTGCACCTTGGCGTCTTAATCAGTGTTTCTGTTGCTGCAAAGAAACATCCTGACCAAAACAACTTGGGGAGGAAAAGGTTTCTTGACCTACATTTCTGAATCGTAGTCCATCATCTAAGGAAGTCAGAGCAGGAGCTCGGACAGGGCAGGAGCCTGGAGGCGTGGAGGGTGCTGCTTGCTGGCTTGCTCCCTGAGGCTCAGTCAGCCCTGCTTTCTTCCAGAACCCAGGCCCGCCAGTCCAGGGGTGGCACCGCCCACAGTGGGCTGGCCTCCCCCATTGATGGCTAAGAAAAGCCCGGCAGGCTTGTGTGCAGCCTGATCTTGCGGAGGCGGAGGCGGAGGCGGTTCTCCCTCCTCAGATGACCCTAGCGTGTGTCAAGCTGACTTCAAACTATCCAGCGCACCAGGGCTCAGGTCACGTCAGTGCCCAGTCTTGTGGTAACTTGAGGGAACACTGGCAGATTAGGGGCCAGGGACACTACCTTTAAGCTGATGTGACCTTCCACATGACCGTGACCTCTGTGACACCCGGACAGTTAACTGACAGCATTTGGTCGGTGTGTGACGCTGACTGACAGGAGGGCAGTGAACACAACCGCACAGATAGAAGATACACACCCATAGGAGATCTTATCACGGTGTGATAAGATCTCACATACAGACAAAGGCACATGAAGGCCTTCATTTCCGGCTTGTTTGTTTTGTGTTTTGTTTTTCGAGACAGCGTTTCTCTGTGTAGTCCTGGCTGTCTTGGACTTGCTTTGTCGACCAGGCTGGCCTTGAACTCACAGAGTTCCGCCTTCCCCTACCTCCCGAGTGCTGGCACCGCTTACAGCTATTTCTGGAATTTTTATTTAACGTTTCTCATCATGATGAACTATGGGTACATGCAAATTGCTTGCTTTGTAGCCCAAATAGCTCTCAGACTCCCCGTGTCTCCAAGGATGATTTTGCGCTCCTGATCCTCCTGCCTCCACTTCCTGATGCTGTGGTGATGGGCCTGTGCCAACTGGCTGCCAGTGACATTAAAAACTAGTGTTTACAGCTCATTTCTTAGAGCCAAGCACTGCTGCTGCGCGCCTGCCTTTAATCTCAGCACTCAGGAGGCAGAGGCAGGAGGATCTCTGTGGGCTAGCCTGGTCTACAGAGTGAGTTCCAGGATGGCCAGGGCTACACAGAGAGACCCTGTCTCAAAACAAGCAAACCAAAAACAAATAATAAATACAGAAATAGTGGCTCAGTGGCCGGGAGGGGCTCATTCGGGTGTGAGAGCGGCCCCCTCAGGATCAGGAGGGAATGAGCTGTGAACTCCCGCTCAGAGAGGGGAGAAGCTGTGGCCGGCCTCCAGGAGCTGTGGGGCTGTGACTACCTGAGCAGCCATGCAGCCGCCAGCTGCAAAAGGTGGCAGCTGCCCCGGGACAGGCTCGAGCCCCCGAGACCTGTCTGTGTCATCCCTGCGCCTGAGTGCACAGATGCGACTCCAACCTTCCCCCCCCCACCCCCCGCAGACCTCCTGCTGGATGTGGGTGGAGAAGCTGCCGCAGAGGCCACGCCCCACGGCCAGGCTTCGGGCCGCCAGCCAGGTGTAAAGTCTGCTGGCATTTCGCACACCATTTGGGAAATGTGGCCTTAAAGAAAAAACCAGACGCAACCGGAACCCTTCCCTCACTGGTGCCTTTGCCACACAGCCGTTGTCACACTCAGGTTGACTCTAATGGGCACTGGGACACTTGTCTAACCCACACAGTTTGGCGGCATCACACTGGTGGCCTGGGCTTGGCCAGGACGAGACAGTTTGTAGCACTAACCCAGGAGTGGCATCGTGAGCATTTGGCCTCCCTCAAGGCTGTCGATGGCTGCTGCCACTCCAGCCAGCACAGCCCATGGCTCGCAGGGGAAATGGATTAGCGAGCGGTGGAGACGGGTGGCAGCGCCTGGCTGTCTGTCATCTCGGGGAACAGACAGACATGTCTCCAGAATTTCCCAGCCACGAATGCTTCCTTCCCAGAACTGTGTCGCGTGGCTGTGGAGCCCGGCCAAGGAAGCTGGGAAGTGGTTATCTCCTGTCTTCCGCAGAGGAGGGGGCCAGGGGCTGCCGCCCGGGCCTCTGCTGACCCTGGCTGTGGCTGGTCCTTGGCCACCCTTGTTTCAGGAGCCTCGGGGCATGTTGGGGAGAGCGGAGCAGGGACGCCAGCAGGGGTGGATGCTGAAGCGCCACCCAACACCCTTCCCCTGTGGAGAGCCAGACCGAATCGAGCAGCCCGGGGCTCAGTGCGACCCTGAGTGCCAAATCAGGGTGGGGAGCAGCGGAGGGGGCCACCCAGGGGTCACCTCCACGCACAGACTCGGACATGCGTGCAGAGCAGCCAGAGGCCTCAGCCCTGAGAACAGCCAGGGGGCAGCCGCGAGGCCTCATCCTCCTGCCTCAGCACTGGCGTCTCCAGAACACTGTGCACCACAGGCTGGAGGGCACGGGGA